AGCTATATATATATATATATATAAAATATATATGTACTGTATGTGTATATATATTTTTTATATATATACATTTGATCTAATAAAGGAAAATGTCAATTATCTGAGTGGATGACGTATGTCCATCTTTGGCCACCAGTGAAATGATTTGAATTAATTATAAGTTGGTTTTAACATCACCAAGATTTAGACTGATAGAAGGGATGCAAGTGTCTGTCAAGGCAAAACATTTTTTAGTTGATGGAATGGGTAAGATTTAGAAGCCCTGACAGGTTTTTACTGCTATCCAGGGCCTCTTTAGAGAAATGTACGCTCACTTCCTGCCCCGCTGACAACATTTTTCTAGACAAGAAGTGGGGGAACTTATTTATTCTTATTCATTATTTAACTTATTTATTAAAAAGCCATTTTTGATCTCCAGTCAGTGATTTTGCCTAGGATGAGATGTCACCAGTCTGACGCAGGCAGTGATTAGACTGTACATTGTAACTTTGTAGCAAGTCACAAGGTGAGAGGCTGTAGCACGAGCTGATCTGTGTCAGACATTTGTAAACACAGCCAAGAACTGCCCTGACACCAGGATTTGCATGATTGTGCCATCTCTGAGCCGGCATCTCAGTCCAGGAAGTAGATGATACTCCCTGGATGATGCATGAACAAAGATGGTGCCATCTTTCTGGAGAGGAATGCAGGTGAAGGCATTGCCAGAGGGAGTACTGTGATTTTGAATAGAGCGCTTTGTGGTAAAACTGTGTCAGTCACGCGTGAAGAATCCAAAAACATTTCTGCTTTGTAAATGCCTTCGTCATCCCCGAACTGAGGATCGCTGCTCTCCCTGCACTGTGAAAATGAATGCAGTAATCGTTATAATTGATATATTCCGGCGATGGCGGCTCTGTCATTTCATTCATCATTAATAACCTTTTAAAGTTCATCCTTTCTTCAGTGAAGTGTTTCGGTGGCAGCTCAATATAACAGCGACACCTACAGGCCAAATATGGGTACTGCACCTCATGTGACCTGTATACAGTAACCACAATAGGAATTGTTTCTTTACTTTTGTTACCTAAATTATTGAACAATAAAGAAATGTATTTATGGTTTGTATTTTTCTTTTGGCCGTACCTTTCCATCCCACTTTGTCCCTGATGTGTTTTAAGAGTTAATTAACCTGCTTTAAAGAAGAATTCCGGGCAGGGCCCTCCTTACCATCTTGTCTTAAATTGTATTGTGACTGTAATGTCTTCCTTATATTGTAAAGCGCTGCACAAACTATTGGCGCTATATAAATCCTGTATAATAACAATAATATTTCCATGCAAGATGCAATAACAAAAGAACATAGTTGTAGCCCGAAGATATATAGTGGAGGGAATTTATCAAGACTGGAGCAGACAAAATCTGGAGCAGTTGCCCATGACAACCAATCAGCTTCTCTTTTCCGATTGTTCAGTTAAGATTTGAAAATGAAACAGAGAAGCTGATTGGTTGCCATGCACATCTGCTCCAGATTTTGTCTGCTCCAGTTTTAATAAATTCCAATCACTGTGACTGGTAATGATGTGGGAAGACAGCCAAACTTTGCCGTATTTTACATTACTGACTACTCCCCTTTTTTAATACCTATCACCCCTCTGTACGCCAAATGTCATATTGAATCCGGGTGCCCCTGCTGTGATGTCAGAAATGAGAGAGAACGCGCATAGAAGGAGGGAGAGAAGCAATTTTAAATCCTCACTCTCTGGATGATTGATATACAATACAGGTCTGACAGTGTCATGTTTCAGGCTGTCTACGTATTTCCCATCAGTTGGAGGATCTGGTGCATTTTGTAAACAAATCTGGCTTATATATTTGTCCCCCGCGCCATTACCCGATCGCGCCAGCTTCCCCGCTGTATGGTCAGAAGATGTATTTTAATATTTTTTAGAGAAAAATTCAGGTCAATGTAACATTCATCACACAGCCAGTTTTACATTTGCAGGCACAATTTTTAAAGCTTTCTGTAAAACTCTAAATACGTTATTCGGTATGTTTGGCATTGTGTCTCAATTTATACAGTTTTCATAAGCAATGTTTTTATCCAGGGGGATTCTGCCAAAAACAGTACTTCCTGTTACGTTGTGACAACGCTAAGCTTCTGCCTGACAATTAGCAGCAGCGTTGTCAGCCTCCCGTGTGCACTCCTTTCATCGGGCTGCTTTTAAGTCTATCATTAGGCAGCCCAGCAGCCAACGGAAGGAGCGTATATGGAGAGGCTGACAACGCTGCTGCTAATCGTGATGCAGTGGCTTAGCGTTGTCACCCTGTAACAGGAAGTGCTGTTACTGGCAGGATCTCCAGAAAAGAAACTTTGCAACAGATTCACAGATAATCTGTGTAATAATGGTGAAGATTTTATCCCTAGGCAGCCAGTTATTGTACCAGAAGTTGACAGAAATTAGTACAACTGAATCCAAAAGATTTTTTTTTAGCTTTAGAGTGGAGAGGGATTAGAACATCTGTCAGGTTTTTATTGCTGTCAGTGTCCCCGTTAGGGGGATTCACTCTCTCTATTTGTCCTGGTGACCGTTATCACTAAAAGTGAAAGAAAATCCCACATTTTGGGTTGTCACCAGAACAGGAACAGCGATTTCCTCTCATTTCCTGTTGTGGTGGTCAGACAGGAAGTGAAGGGAAATCTTCCCTGATAGGACACAGCTGACAAAATTAAACCTGACTTGGATTATAACCCTCCCTTACTCTATTCAACACTAAAACAAAGTTTTGGGTTCTTTATTGAAAGAGAATAAAAGGTTTTAACTGGAGCTCTTCTTTAAAGCAGCGAATGTTCGATAAGTTGCCCCGACTCACCCCCCTCCCCCCCCTCTGTGTTTTCGCAGGTCCTCTATTATTTTGACATAGTCTTTACCGCCATTTTCACCATAGAGATAGCCCTGAAGGTAACCCAACCGGGGACCATCTCATCCTCCTCCTCCTCTATTCACTCTGACACTAACGCCCACACCGGCCCTCCTTACCTGTCCGCACGGCCACTAACCCCCTTCTGCTCTGTCTTTCAGATCCTAGGGAACGCCGATTATGTGTTCACTAGCATTTTCACTTTAGAAATCATCCTGAAGGTAAAAAATTTGCGTCAGCCGCTCACCGCTAAGGAGACCCATGCTGAGAGAATTATGGAAGCTGTGGCCGCTGAGCCCTTTATGGAAATACTTATTACCTGGCTGTGGCAGAGAAATGAATCTGGGGATCAGCATGCAGCTGGGGAAGCCACGGGACCCGCAATGTTGTTTTTAGTAGGGATGCACCGATACCGGTTTTTCGGTATTGAGTACGAGTACCGATACTGCGTACCGATACCGCGTACCGGTGCTTCTGCTGGCATGCAGCCGGCTTCCTGGGCAATGACACTGGAAGACGGCTCCATGTTTGGCCAGGTCGCTGCTGATTGGACGGGAAACCTGCTTCCCTGCCAATCAGCATGGAGCTGAGCCTAACAGCCAGCTCGATGCTGAATGGCTGGGTAGCCAGCTTCCCAGCCAATCAGCATGGAGCAGGCTTCCCAGTTAATCAGGAAGCCCGGAGGCAAGCCATTACTCGCTGCCCGGCTTCCTGATTGCCCGGTAAGCCGGCTTCATGTTCCCCTACAGCACAGCCAGTCAGAGGAAATCTTCCTCTGACTAGAAGTTCCGGTACCGGGGAAGTTATCGGAATACTAGTATCGGTATCGGTGCATTCCTAGATTTTAGGATTTGAAAAGTACTGAAACCAGAAGATTGACATGACAGCCAGGCAACTAGTGTTCTAGGAAGGGGAGGTGAGCAGCCTTCTTATTACTCTCAGCACAGATTTCCTAAAGATGTACCGTTGTGCTGAATTGTTATAGAATATGAAAACATTATATTATATAAAATGAATAAAAAAATGGAGAAAATAGAAATAAAGGGACAGTGAGGTTGCTGTTAGTTGAATTTGCACATATACCGGTCAGGCTGTGTGTTGGGGGCTCGTTAAAGTTCATACAAACCATAACAATAATCTTCTCTTATTTGCTCCCTTTTGGTCTGTTAAATATTCCATTGAAGGAATTTTGTTTTATCTGTTCAAAAGGGCCAAAACTACCTATTGCTCATTTCTGGGCAATGGGCGGAGTTATGCAAATTGTTCCTTTAGACTTCAACAGCTAAATGCACACCCAGAACCACTGGTGTATAGTGCAAATAATGATATATAGATATCCATAATATATGCAACAAGATACTGTAAATAAGACACAGATATTGTGAATATACTGTATGTGTGCTCAGTGTAAGGATAGATACAAAAGTAACCACATGTGCGCCTTACAACACTGAACCTAATCATGATAAGACATGTGAGCAGATGTGGTTGAGAAGTATTTAAAGTGCCGTGTAAACTGATGGCACCTTATAAATACCTGTAATAATAAAAAAATATATATATATACATTATATATATCGTTCTACTTTATATCCATTTTTCTAGCGCAGACATTTGTTTAGAGGGTACACTTCCTGTCCCGGTGACACTCTATGTGTCAGGATTCACCAGGGTGTCACCAGGACAGGAAGTGGGCAGCAGCCGTGACACATACAGCAACAAAAGCACTTTCTTCTAATAGAATGGAGAAGAAGGAGATCCTCTGCCAGATTTGGATTGTTGTTTGTGCTCCCATTGGAGAAACCCCTCCGCCTCTCCTTTCCCCTCCTTTCATTTCATGTGTGGTCACTGGGACAGTAAGTAAATCTCACCAATGGGGACACATACGGCAAAAAAACAAACCTGATAGGAGTTTGAATTCTTTCCAGTTTTAAAAGTCTCATTCCTATGTATAATTATGTGGGTAGAGGAAGCCACATTTGCTCAAGACACATGTTCTGCTTCCAGCTTAGTAATGCATCACAATGACTCTGCTTTCTTGTTCTTATCTCCTATGGCCAGCTTAGACCCATACTGATTTGAATACTAGGTGACTTACCTTGTAATTGGCTGATTTCAGCGGTTATGCAGCAGGTCTGAAGAAGCAGAGATGGAGTATTCTAGTACTCTAACCACTTAGGAGAGATTATCAGGAAGGCAGATTTGCATGTTTTCTTCTGCATGTTCTTTCCATGCTGTGTCTCTGCTGCTATGACAGCACAGTGACCACGACGTGTCTCACGGGTGCCTCATGTTTCAGATGACGGCCTATGGCGCATTCTTGCACAAGGGCTCCTTCTGCAGGAATTACTTCAACATCCTGGACCTGCTGGTGGTCAGCGTGTCGCTCATCTCCTTTGGCATACAGTGAGTATCTGCCCGGGGGTGACACCTTCTCCGACCTTCTGCTCAGTCACTCACTCTCCCTCCTCCCGCCTAGGTCCAGCGCCATCAACGTGGTGAAGATTTTGAGGGTCCTCAGAGTTCTGCGGCCACTCAGAGCCATCAACAGAGCCAAAGGTCTCAAGGTAAGTGACCGGGACAGGCGAGGAAGGTTCACAATGAAAGTCCCACCTGTGTCGGGATGATGGATATTATACAATGAATAAATACAGAAATGGATACATTGGAATCACACTCCAGCCAATCAGAAACAGGAATTTTAAATGAACTGAGGACAGATTGGCTGAGGCTCATCCGCTGTGATTGGTGCTCACAGACTTCCCCAGAGGACCTTAGTCCAGGAAATGTCCATCATCCAGGTGGAATCGTTTCAGCTACTTGCTCCTGTCCTCTGATGGGTTGTCTGCTCCTAAGTCTGTCAGCCATTGCACTGTCCTCTATTGTTCATTGGTGATCATACACAGCAACAATATGATTGGTCAGTTCCAGGGAATTTAATGATAAAGGTGTCCTATGGTGGCCTCCCGGAGACTGTCCTCGAGTCATCCTTCTTTTAGCTGTTGTTGGTAAAATGTGTGACATTAATCAGTCCAAGTTCTGGGATGTAGAAAATGTCTCTTTCTTGTATAAAAATGTAACGCTTTCTTCTTGTGTCTGCGCCCAGCATGTGGTCCAGTGCGTCTTCGTCGCCATTCGCACCATCGGAAACATTGTCATTGTCACCACTCTGCTCCAGTTTATGTTCGCCTGCATCGGAGTACAGCTGTTCAAGGTGAGGGCAGCCCACACACTACACATACACACATTACACTTACACACAAGCACACATACACACGCTACACATGCACACATACACACGCTACACAGACACACAATCACACTTACACATACACACATTACACTTGCACACACTATACATACATGCACTACACATGCACACATACACACGCTACACAGACACAAAATCACACATGCACACACTACACATACACACATTACACTTGCACATACTACACATACATGCACTACACATGCACACACGCTACACAGACACACATACACACAAGCACACACACAATCACACATACACACAAGCACACATACACACAAGCACGCACACACACTACACATACATACAAGCACACGCACATACACACAGGCACACATACACAAACCACACACAAAAACGCACATACACACAAGCATGCATATACACAAGTGCACGCACACACTACACATGCATACAAGCACACACTTACATACTACACATACACACATGCACTACACATACACGCAGTCACACACTCACTACATTTACACACAAGAAACTACACACACTGCACATAAACACAAGCATGCACACTACACTTACACACAAGCATATGCACTACACATAAACACAAGCACACACTACATTTACACATAAACACAAGCACACACACTACACATAAATACAAGCACACACTCACTCTACACACACACACAATTAACCACACACACTATAAATAGACACAGGCACAAACAATACACACAAACACCTACACATACACACAAGCACACTTTGCATACGCATCAGCACATACACACTGAACCACACGCACTATACACAAACATGTACACACACACACATGTTTTGGATTGTGATTTGTGTAGTTAGGTTTTTTTATTCTTTTTTTTTTTCCACAGGGCAAGTTGTACAGCTGCACAGACAGCTCAAAGATTACAGAAGCCGAGTGCAGGTACGTGCGTTGTGTAACGATGGGTTTTATGTCATTACAAAGCTGCAACATCTGCTGAACTCAATGAGTAAACAGAAGGGTCCATTTACTGTCATTGTTTTACCACAGCCCCGAAGTGACACTGTTCTGGAGGAACAAGCTGTATACAAGTCAAGTGTTGTTCACTTCAAACTTTTAAAAACTTTTTCCAACTTAAAACAAAAGTTGTTCCCGAGAGCAGACACGGCAAGGGGCCTGTGATTACCGTATTAAAATGTAATCCATGTGCCTTGCCGCACCCCTACCGGATATTCCATGAAATGTGGGGGCTTGTAATTACTGCCGATAGCGCCGCTCAAAATGCAGTAACAAATGCAAATGTCACCTGCACCAGTAGTTTGTTACTACCTTATTAAAAAGCCTCTCCTGTGCACCCCTCTGATGTAGTTTCACTTAGGTAATATGAGCTCAACTTTAAGGCTAACATCACATGCAGCATGCTAAATACAAACTCAGAACAACAAAGCATGCATTGCTGGGGCCTGATCTGAAGATGAGCGAGAGGATACAGCGTGCAACTTTTTGGATTAGAAAATAAAAAACATCAGATGAGCATTAAAGTGCAACTCCACCCAACACTTTTTTCAAGTATGACACAAACCATCATACTCTGATACACAGGGTGTCACTGGGACAGGAGCTATGGGGAATTGTCCATCTAATGGGGGCACAGGCATCAGTAACAACCCAACAAAGCTTCTCACCCCACCCCCCCATCAGAAAGTGTATCCTGTTGTAGCTGCATACATTTGATAGACTTTTATATTGTGTCCTGCAGGGGGAAGTTCATCTCCTACAAAGACGGGGATGTGTCGCAGCCGATGGTTCAGGAGCGGCGATGGGAAAACAGCAAGTTCGACTTCGATAACGTCCTGGCGGCAATGATGGCGCTCTTCACCGTCTCCACCTTTGAAGGCTGGCCGGAGTGAGTCCTTGGGATAAGGGAGCTGCAGGGGGTTGCATGGGCAGAGCTCTCAGGGGCAACTTTGGCTTCCGGGATATATCTTTGTGAGAAACTTCAGGTTGAAGCTGCGATGCTCTGACACCGGCACCATACGGTATTTCTGCAGTGAAGCTGAATGGGAGCTGCTACGCTTTCACCTAAAGCTTCTCTCACAGCTCTCTGTGTCAGACTCCCTTTAAAGCCCATCTTCAGTGAATTCAGTTTTATTTTCACCTTTAGATAGAATGGGGAAGCATTTGAGCCTCTATCAGGTTTTTTATGGCCTTAGGGAAGTTTTTCTTTACTTTCCGTCCCGGTGACACCCTGTGTGCCAAGATTTGACAGGGTGTCAGCAAGGGAGGAAGTGATCTGAAATTCTCCAGCAGTGATGCAGACAGCAATAATAGCAATTTCATTTAGTAGAGTGGAGGGAGGTTTGATCAGTGGTGGTCAACGTACTAGATATAGGGAGGCTCAAGTGTGGCCCCTGACATCACAAGGTAAAGTGCTCGTGTTAGCCTAGGGTCAGAAATAACAAAGTTATACTCACCTGATCCTCTGAGCTGGCCAGGTGTCACAGTGCTCCCTCCAGCCTGTCTACTGCTCTGCTGCAGCAATGGTATGTCCCTCTGTGTCCTCACACCCTAAACACTGTGAGGGGAATTTATCAAAACTGTGGCAGTCGGAATCTGGAGCAGTTGTCCATGCCAACCAATCAGCATCTCTCTTCAGTTTGCTCGGGCAAGATTTGACAATGAGACAAAGAAGCTGATTGGTTGCAGTGCAAATCTGCTCCAGAATTTGTCTGCTCCAGTTTTAATAAACTCCCCTCTATGTATAGAATGTGAATGTCCTTTATATGTGCACGCTCTATAGTCCCTGGGTATCATTTGTACTTGGCAGCAGCCATGTTTGTCCTCTATATGTGCACGCTCTATAGTCCCTGGGTATCATTTGTACTTGGCAGCAGCCATGTTTGTCCTCTATATGTGCACGCTCTATAGTCCCTGGGTATCATTTGTACTCGGTAGCCGCCATGTTTCTCCTTTATATGTGCACGCTCTACAGTCCCTGTGTATCATTTGTACTCGGTGGCAACCATGTTTGTCCTTTACATGTGCGCACTCTACAATCCCTGTGTGCCATTTGTACTCGGTAGAGCCATGTTTCTCCTTTTATATGTGCATGCTCTACAGTCCCTGTGTATCATTTGTACTCGGCGGCAGCCATGTTTGTCCTTTTTATGTGCACACTCTACAATCCCTGTGTATCATTTGTACTCAGTAGCCGCCATGTTTCTCCTTTATATGTGCACGCTCTACAATCCCTGTGTATCATTTGTACTCAGTAGCCGCCATGTTTCTCCTTTATATGTGCACGCTCTACAATCCCTGTGTATCATTTGTACTCAGTAGCCGCCATGTTTCTCCTTTATATGTGCACGCTCTACAATCCCTGTGTATCATTTGTACTCAGTAGCCGCCATGTTTCTCCTTTATATGTGCACGCTCTACAATCCCTGTGTATCATTTGTACTCAGTAGCCGCCATGTTTCTCCTTTATATGTGCACGCTCTACAATCCCTGTGTATCATTTGTACTCAGTAGCCGCCATGTTTCTCCTTTATATGTGCACGCTCTACAGTCCCTGTGTATCATTTGTACTTGGTGGCAGCCATGTTTCTCCTTTATATGTGCACGCTCTACAATCCCTGTGTATCATTTGTACTCGGTAGCAGCCATGTTTCTCCTTTATATGTGCACGCTCTACAGTCCCTGTGTATCATTTGTACTCGGTAGCAGCCATGTTTTTCCTTTATATGTGCACACTCTACAATCCCTGTGTACCATTTGTACTCGGTAGCAGCCATGTTTGTCCTTTATATGTGCACACTCTACAATCCCTGTGTACCATTTGTACTTGGTGGCAGCCCAGTACTGACAGATTTAGTATTCTTCTCAATTATATTTGTACAATTCAAACTCTTTTTAGGATCTATGGAATGATGTATTTCACACGTAATATGACAGTTTGATCGACGTGCGGTGACATATTATTAGCTCGTGTGTGGGAAGTGCACTTTTTGACAAGCGTTCATATAAATAGTCAATTATCTTATATAAAAAGGTCGTTCTTAATATATTTAATTAATTTATTATAGGAATTACATATTCCCAAACTGGGTTTAATGATTCCCCCACGCAATGCCATTGTTTAATAAAAAAAAAAAAAAGAAGCGGCAGATGGGTTTCGCGTCGTCTCAATATTTTTGGCACGGGCACAGATAACCAATTAGGTCGATGCGTCCAATAAACATCTGTTTCAGTTTAAGACGAGATGATGTCAGAGTCCGCTAAACCGTTCATCATAAGTAACGTTTGTTTTTTGTTTTTACAGTTATAAGTAATCTTTTAAAGGCCAGTAGACCTAAGAATAGGAGATTCAAAGTGTATCTAAACCCCAAAATGTCATATATTGCAGATTATCAGTCCTTATATGTGGCGGCTGCATTAGTTTTCAATTAGGCTTTTTGCCCTGATGATCCTAGGGTGACAACGCTTATTCAATGGACTGTATCTATGGAGGGGCAGCGTTGTCACTGTAGGACAGGAAGTGTGTTAAGACTGGAGAACACCTCACCCTCTCCTCTTCACTATAACATAAGATGGAAGGTGTTCTGATTTGAACTACATACACCTTCCCTATTGATTATTGCCATTACTTAAGGAGGAGGGGATTTGTCATTCACAGAACTAGCTAGGAAGGCTGATAACATTGATAGGTAATAAATACCTGGAAGTGTTACTGAGCATGCATACAGTCAACATGAAACAAAGAATTAAATCCAAAGGATAAGAGTGACAGGCAGGAAAATAAAGTTTTCAGGAGAGCCCAGCAATGGCTGCCCTAATTTTCACTCATGATGGGTGTGTTAAAGTGTCCCTATCACTTTTACAAGGTATACAAGCAGCAGGTGGCGCTGTGACAACAACTGTCTCTCGTCCTCTCCTTCCCCTCCAGACTGCTGTACAGAGCCATCGACTCCCACACAGAGGACATTGGACCCATCTACAACCACCGCGTGGAGATCTCCATCTTCTTCATCATCTACATCATCATCATCGCCTTCTTCATGATGAACATCTTCGTCGGTTTCGTCATCGTGACCTTCCAGGAGCAAGGAGAGCAGGAGTACAAGAACTGTGAGCTGGACAAGAACCAGGTAAGGGCTGGGGTTCATGGGGAGGACATAAAAAAAAGACAACCAGTCTGGGACTCATTAACACAAAGGTTTTTCAGGTAAAGTTTGATTCATCTCTCTAATTTCAGGTACACATACTAGTTGTGTTCACAAAATTGAATTCCAGGCTCAAATATTTCTTGTTAGTTTTTAGATTGAATGAGGATGCTTGGAGTTTACCTTTAAGCTTTTAAATAGCAGAATAATATCTGATTCAGGGTTCCTTTGAATGATATATTGATGGATAGATAGTCTCTGTCTGTCTCTGCAGCGACAATGTGTGGAGTACGCCTTGAAGGCCCGCCCCCTGCGCAGGTACATCCCTAAGAACCAGTACCAATACAAGGTGTGGTACGTTGTCAACTCGACCTATTTTGAGTACCTCATGTTCGTTCTGATCCTTCTCAACACCATCTGTCTGGCAATGCAGGTAAGTCGGACCCTCCTGGCCATTTTTCCCTGTCCCTGGGGTTCACTAGACTCTTGAAACTGTTAGACAACTGAAAAATGAAAAAACCTGGAAGAACTCCGGGGAAATATTTTTTATCCTTGCAATGCCCATTCCCCCCCCC